TCTCAGCCCGCACAATTGACGTGAGACTAGTCTCTTGTCATCGGCATTCGAATAGTCCAAATGGCAGACAACTTATTGCTAGATTTAATTGTTAGTGCTTTACTTTATGTATTTTTAAAATTTTGCCGTGAAACAGTCTTAGCTGACCTCATCCACAGCAGGCTCATTGGTTCAATATGAGCTACCTTTGAACATCTGTTGCAAAATGACCTATACAACACTATAGAAAAACATACTACAGAATTGAACAACATCAATCAGCTGGAACTACAAATAAATGAACAACATAAACAGCTAGAACCACAAATAAATGAAAACAACAAAGGTTAGATTATAATATAAATTAGCAAAAGACATCATTAATCCAATTGACTCTTCCAGATTGAGTCCCTGTTCAGGAGCAGGCGTACCCGCCCTACCTGAGACGATCACCTTATCTCGTCTCCCTCATATTGCCCACTTGTTGGCCTACATCAGCCTGTATCGACAGTCATGCCCTTCTCTCACTGTCAACGAACAATTTACCGGACATGATTCTTTCTCTTCAATAAGTGCGTATAATTTCTTGTAGCTCATAATTATCGACAGTATTAATATTTCTTATTTATCGTTACAGAACATTACGTATACTAAATCTAATGATTTAGTTTATGCGTTGGAGGCAAGGACAATCACACTAAATTGGACAACTATCCGGGCTTTCTGGCCGCTGCCTTAAGCCTGGGGTGAAAATTACGCCGCCATCCCGTTTTTTGGCTCTCGTCGTCTCATCGCTGCAGCTCGTCGTTGGGGTCTCCTCTCTTCTTTCTTTTGGATGACATGCGTTCGCCCTCAGCCCCAGAAATGTTGTCGGCCGGACGAGGGCCCTCAACGTGAGCTTCGATCCGTACTATTTTGGACATGATAGGCTATGGCTATTTTCGGCATATGCATACATTCAAAGGTGGTCACCGTTGCTTAGTTGAGTCGCTCTCCTCCTACTCTGCCTCTCACGGGCGGCCGCAGTCGCAGTCGCAGTCGCTCTTCTGAATTTCCCCACTCAGTGCAGTTGATTGCAAGGCGGGCGTTGCCGCCCTCCAGCTATTTGCGTGCCACTGTGTGCTCAAGCTCACTCACGATACCCTGACAACACAACAAAAACGATATCGACGCGGCCGATAATATTGAATACAACAAACTGGATTTTGTTGATAGTCAAAAACATCATCATGGTAAATCATATACTGAGATGGAGAGAAAGGTTAGAAAAAAGCCAAAACATATATGAAGCTAACTGCAGCTGAGCATTTAAACAAAACTCACTCATTTATAATTAATAAATTAAAAGTGTGAAGTACTAAAAGTAGTGTTGTTATCTGATGGAAACAAGTTTACTATTTTTTGCCAAAACTACTGCGTAACGGAAACTAAATATTGACCACGAGAAGCAGAACATTGCACCAACAGCGGGGCAGTGATGATATCGGGCTGCACAGTTGATAAAGGCGTGGGCGAGCTTGGTTTTATTGATGGGATAATGGACAGCACAGTTTATCTAAACGATTACCATGTTGTTATTGAGTTCCCTCATTTATCTTTTCCTGAGGATGTATACTTTAGAGGTTGCAATCTTCAATTGCAATCCTCTTATTTTTCTTTAATCAACTACCAATAAGCATTGCTTTCGCAAAGGACACTTTTTCTTGCCATTCAACGTATTTATGCAACCGATGGGTCTTTGTTATATGACTCAGTTGATATGAATATTGCTATTAATTTTTTTTCTAATAACCTGAATTCCCTCTTAGATGATTGTATTCCTAATTCAATTCCTATACCTGCTTCTTCAAAGCCATCCTGGTTCACTCCCAGCCTTTTCAACTTAAAAAATATAAGGTCGAAATATTTTAAAAAGTTTAAAAAGTCTGGTTCGAGTATTGGTTTGGCTAAATATTCCATAGGCAAGTCGAACTTCTTCTATTTTTTTTTCAATTCTCAGAGCTGTGCGAATTATCTTACTCGCTGTAAAAGGGCAATTTGCCCAAGTCCGTCACAGTTTTATAATTTTGTAAGCTTGCAGCGTAAATCTTCAAGGTGTCCTCTAAAAAATAATCACTTCGACTTTGCAGCATTTCTACGAATCATCTTGGACCTTTACTCTGAACTCTTTTTACAAATCATCTCCACTCTTTTATATCACATGCCCGGGTACTTATGCATGCTGGAGATGTGAAACTAATTCTATCATAAACCAATCACCTACATCATTCTCGTCTACAAGACGATTTGAACGCTATGCTAACTTTGCTGTTCGACACATTAATTACATCTAATTTGTTCAATGTGTATGATTATGATCTTCAATCGTACCACACCTTATCTATATATATATGATCTTCCAGAGGTATCCACCCGCAGGACAATCCTCGAGGTTGTCTTCCCACATAACTTGATTGTTGGCGACATAGATTCTTCTTTTCTGGTAGGGCGTCTTCAATCCTCTGTTCCGTCCAGACCTACCAGGAATTTTCGCCCTTTATTCCTGGCAAAGTGCACAACAGATTACACTATCTACAATTCTGTCAGTGTACTAAGTGAAAATAACAATAGTTTGTATCACGTTTTCTCCGCCGAACAGTCCTTTAGAAACTCACTGACCATTCCCAGCTATGAGTAGGGGGCATAGCTTGAAGTAGGGTCGATGATTACCCATCACTATCTCTTAATCGTAGCTACTTAACAATCTATATATCTAGTCTAAATTTTCTTACTTTCTTAATAGCTTCTTGCTTTTTTTTTTTAATATTTTATATTCTTAAATATTATAGTAAATTAAGAATATTATTATATACTTAAGTTCACTAATTTATCTACACCCAAAATAAGGATTTTAGGAAATAATTTTCATAATTTAATGTATTAAATAATTAAAGTTGAAACTTTAGGGGAAACTCTCTCGAAATTTAGATTATAATATAAAAATACCTATTTCAACAAATAAATTACGTTTTTGGTTGCCTAAGTTTCCATTAGGTTTAATTACATATATAAGGTATTTTTACGTAAAGATATCATATTATATACCGTAATCAAAGACAATATAAACAATAAGATGAGTAACAACAACAAAACGCTACTATTGTAGGAATGACCTGACGCAAATAAAATGCAGCCGTTCTTGTGCGCGTCACTTTTTTGAATGCCTTCGCAGATCACCATTTTTTCACCATCGTTCTCGTTTTTCTTATGCTCGTGTCAGAACGAAAGTAAGAGCATCGAATGTTTCGCTCTCTGAGCAGTGGGACACTTAATGCTATATCACAGTAGAATCTTACATGCTAATTATTACTGCACTATGCAGCTTGATTTTTTGAAAATTGAGAACGAAAACGAAATCTGTAGCATTGCGCTCTCACTGCCGAGAGAACGAAAAAGCTAAAACTAGAATGTGCTCTCAGCTTTGGCTCTATGAGGGCCGTGCAAGCAATTATGTTTGTATGCGTGTGAATATACATAAATAACAGCATATTTGAATGTATTGTTATCCACTACTCTGGCAAAGGCTCTGGCTGCCAAGGAAACAAATTTCTTAGTTTTTTTAGCGCAGATCACAACCTACCCAAATTTCTGTTGACATATGAATGCATTTTGTGTACTGAGGTTGGCTCCATACAGAATATGTATTTTTAAGTCGATTTGCATTACTAGTGCAATTATTACCAGCGTCCACTTGCTGCTACTTATCTGATCTCTCCTTTATTCAGCCATTACATAAATAACACACACAAAAGTTATGCAAAAAAAAAAATTATAAAATTAAAATCAAAATTATTTGTATTTATATATACAATGCATAATATATACTGATATACATATACAATATACATATATCATATTACTTAAATAATAGACAATATATATTGTATATATAAAGTATATAAATAATTCAGTAAAGCCTTAAAAAAGGCTACCATATTAAGTCATATAATAGCCTCTGTCCACTGAATACATTTCTTACACATTTCTGAAAATATCACATTTTTGCAAAATGTGTGAAATGCGCCCTGTGTCCTTATAAGAAAATACATCTCACACATCTTTCAAACAAGTCACATTTTTGAAAATTTTTTAAATTCGCCTAGAACATTTCGTGTTTTTTGCAATGATTAATCGAGATATCTATCGATGTTGTGAAAAATGGTAAAGAATCATAATCATAAATAGCTGATATATCAACGAAGGCAAGCGGCAATTTTAAATAAGAAATTTAACATTAAAATAATCCCACAGTTTTTAGAATTTAAACATGGCGAAATCTCGAAAAGAATACCTAAAATGGAGCCCTTACTTCGAGGGCGCAATTATTGAGTTTTGGAAGAAGAACTTTACGGCGCTTATGTATATTAAAGAAACTCCATCAGCTGTTTATTTAAAGAAGCGGTATTTTGTCACTCACATGTTACCGCCAACCGGTGGAACACCAATATGTGAAATTTGAAAAAGTGGCATTTCTTAAACCAGTGGACAGAGGCTATAAATAAAGCATGCATTTCATGGATAAAGCACTAGCACTTTGCGTCGATCGTAGGTTGTAAACTTTTTCGCTCAATGTACTTCGATAACGAAGCGACACAAAGCAGCATCTACCAACTTTGCTGACGGCAGGCTGGCGACTAACTTCTTTGCTCGTGTCAGCATCAGCAAGTCGCGACTTCGGTATTCGTTCGTCTGGTCTTTGGAGAACGAACAACCAGTTGGTAGGCATGCCGTACGAAGCCTCAAAGGCCAAATGATAGGCCAGGCTAGAAATGTTGCGCCGCATTCAAATGTATAGGCGTTACTTATCATAGGTTTTATTTTGCCTGTACCATTATGGTCTTCTTTCTAAGTTTTGACTTATCAACAACGTACCAGACATAATTTTTTTTTCGATAATTTTTAAAATATATCGAGATGCTGTGTTGACATCACTAAAGCTTAATATTAATTCATTCAAGTGAAGGTGGCGCGAACTTATAATTCTGAAAACTGAATTTATTACATGTATGTAATAATCGATTTGCAATATACGCTTGCTGTTAAACAAAAGTTAGGTAACAAATTGGTAATACGTTTATTATTGTAGTGATAAGTACTAGTTCAAACGATTATTGCAGGTTGTTTTATTTTTATGTACTTTTATAGATGTCAAATAAGCATTTGTATGTACGTATGAATATCATTAAATGTAAGTGAATTTATGAAAATAATTTTATTATTATCTGTATATGCATACTTAAGAATAAATGTTGAAATTTTATATATACATGTGTATGGCGTCAGTCATGCGATAAGCCGTGAAATTGCAATATCCATACAAACATATGTATTCGTGTAATAGACAATTATATACATACCTCACGCAAAAGCACAAAAGTTTACGAGTTGGTGGTCGTTTTTGTAGTTTTATGTCCACAGCTAGTTTCAAACAGTACTTAAACATACTTTAGGAAGCTATTATAACAACATTTGGAATGTAGGTTATCAAAAAATGTGGAATTTATTCTAAGACCCTGAACACATTGAAAATTGGTAAAAAGGCTATAATGTATTTGTGCACATTTGCAGGCTTCTGCCCATTGAAAAACATCTCCGACCCCATTAAGTTAAGACATATGTATGTATATCACCATTATAAGTCAAGTCCATCAAGCACTTATACGTCAGCTTGTTCGTGTATTATACCACTTACCAAACTACATAAACATAGATAGGACATGCAGTACAACCAAAATGGACACATCAAAACGCTGACATCTGGTCCAAAAACGCGAGCAAGAGAGTAAGAAATACATATGATTTGTGTGGTAGAACGGCATCGCTGTCTTTTTATTCGCTCACACTACTGGAAACTGCCTTGGCTTACTCTTCTCTTCCATATGATTTGTGCGATAGAACGGCATCAATGTTTTTTATCTCGCTCCCACTACAGGAAACTGTTTTGGCTTACTCTCAGTGCTATGTACCGTTTATTAATGCAAAAAAAGTAATTAATTATTAATTTGTTATTATGTCGGTGCGGAATTCTTGCATTTTAGCTCGTTATCGTTGGTAAGGGTATCTAAGCTTTGGCATGTGCGCATTTAAACTATTTTCGACTTGCACATTTTGTATATGAATAGAAGCATTTTGTATATGAATCTGTGCCTGCCGGTTGCCTGGCCGACTGGCCACTTCCATTAAAAAATTGTCATTGTCCTCATAGTCGGACTCATCTTTTTCTTGTGCCATTTTTGATGCCACTTTGTCGAACTCTTGAGCAAGATGGTTTTCCTATTGCCAACTTTGCCAGGAGACCCGCTCAGATGTATTCGCTCTTTTTTTTTTGCCTATTTTCATGTTGTTGCTGATGAGCGGTGGGCTGAATGCACTTTGACAGAGAATCGGATTATGTTTCACATGTCTTGTTTTGGGATTGCTCGGCTTGGTGCTGATCGCCGTATTGAATCTTGCCCTGTCCGTACTGGACCCTGTTCTTTTTTATCATACTGTTTAGACTGCTTGTTGGTTCCTAGTACGCTGCGCAGCCTTCTCTTCTAGGCTTCTGAAATAGTTCTCTGCGATGCGGTATGTTTCATGGCTTGCCCTGATTTCCTGTGCGACGCCAGGGCGGATGATAAATGAATGAAATTCTCACGCATACTATTCGCTAAATCAGCATCTAACGACATGTAAAACATGTTTGTAAATTTCGTACGCGGCTACCGCTTACGATCGCAATGACGCGTGTGTTTCTTGCTTGCCATCGAACTCTACTAAGCGTTACTCAGCCTCTCACAATCAGTAGCCCACCTTCGGACTTTAAAAGATTTTAATAAAAAGTTGATTCTTTTAAATTTTTAAGGCTTATTATTAACTTGGGTCGGTTTATTCTTGTTTATTACATTATTTTTAAAAATTGGTATATGGTATTTAAAATTGAGCATCCCACCCTAATGTTTTCGTTGGAATTACAGTTGTGGACTTTCACTCAGCGACTTCTTGCTGCCTTCGCAGTGTTATTTTCGTCTTCGGTGCCCCAATCGCTCCCACGTCTTCGGTGTAATGTTGATGTGAGGCATGTGTGCGCTGCACCTGTTGCCGCGCTCTGTTGGGTTTATGTTCTCTAAATTTGTGGTTTTATATGAGTTTTTTTTACTGATCTCACTGTCGTTCTTTATGTAGTTTTGATAGCTGGACACTATTTTTTACACTGAACTCATTTAAAATGGGTAAAAAGGGTATAATGTATTTGTACAAATGTATGTAACAGGCAGAAGGAAGCATCTCCGACCATGAAGTACATATATTCTTGATCAGCTTCAGTAGCCGAGTCGATCCCGCCATGTCCATCTGTCTGTCCGTCCGTATGTATAAACGCAAGGATCTCAGAACCTATAATAGCTAGAGACTTGAAATTTAGATGAAGGCGCTCCTAGTGCCCGCGCAGATCGAGTTTGTTTCCGATAATCGATAACTTACTCTGTTTCCAAGCAATCGATACAAATCGATAACGATATTCTGTTTTTGGGCAATTTCGGTAAATAATAAGAGCTAGAGTCACCAAACGTGACTTATAGCTTCTAAAATAGAATATATATATGCATTTGATGTTGGACTAGAACCTCTTACTTGTTTTTTTTTGGCTGGTGTGGCTGTTGAGTAGAGTCGTCAGCAATTGATGCGGTCAGTTGCGATTCGAACCCTGCCAAGGGAACTTATTTTTTGTATTTTTCTTTATTACTCAAACGAGCGCGTAGCGTGAGCTGCATTTGGTGTTGGAATAAGAGGGTTCAGGATATTTCCTAGTCGGGAGCTTTCGACTAGAACCTCTTACTTGCTTTGTTATGTCACTATGCTTACAATAGATTAAAATATTAATAATTATTTTACGGCTGTGTTGAAGGTTTTCAAATATAATTTGGATATGATGATGAATCCATGTATAGCTCTTAGGATGAAGTAAATAATTTCTAAATGCGTACCGAATCTTAAGGACCACATTGATATATTGATAGCTGGCTAACTTTATCAGAAATACCTTTATTTTTTAAAGATAATGTCTGGACGTGGCAATTTGTTGTCCTTATTTCATAAAAAGACGGAGACATCGAACGGTTCTTCATCTAGTGGAGAGCATGCCAAGGATAGTGGCTTAGATGCTACCCAGTCGGTTTCAAGTGGAGAATACCGACGCATTGCCAGGGATGATATTGCAAGTGAGCTTGCATCAACTATTCAAAATGTCAGCATTTCAATTGGACGTGGACGTGCAAATTTGCTGCAATCCTTTAAAAATGAATCCCAACAATTAAGGAACGAAAAAAAAACATCGACTTTTTCAACACTCGTAGATGATATAAATTCTCCTGGACAAAAAAAAGAATTGGTTCAGGCAAAAAATTCAGCTTTTACTTGTGATAGATCTGAAATCAAAACAAACAATTCTATGGATGACACAATTTACGGCACTAAAGGTAAGGGCAATATCGTTCGATAACACTTTGCATCGGTACTATTCTGGTACAAAAAATGTATGAGCAACATCAGACACGACAGAGCTAGATTCTTTAAATTTAGCAGCTAGAACTAGAAGTACAAAACTTAACATGTAGGATATCTTGAAGTGTATACGAATCCACATGTTCCTTTTTTATACCCTGAACTCATTAAAAATGGGTAAAAAGGGTATGTTGTAGATGTGCAAAATATAAATGTATGTAACAGGCAGAAGGAAGCATCTCCGACCCCATAAACTATATACATATATGTTCTTGATCAGCATCAATAGCCGATCTAGCCATGTCCGTCTGTCTGAGACTTGATTTAAGCTGTAGGTCCTCCTAGTGCCTGTGCAGATCGACTTTGTTTCCGATAGTCGATAAAATACTCCGTTTCCGAGGAATCGATAAAAATCGATATCCACATAATGTTTTTTGGGCAAATTGGGTAAATATTAAGAGCTAGAGTCACCAAACTGATATGTTGCTTCTAGAATATTATATATATATCAAGAATCTTTCATTTTATATCTATCGCCACCTTCCCGCTACCACCGCAGAGCTATAAATTAAGTTAATAACCCAACTTAGATGGCCAACCAATCTAAGCCACAATTTTAATGCAATTGACTTATTCAGAATACACAAACATTTTATGGTACAATAAAATATACTGTAGAAAATTTAATTAAAATCGGTTAAGAGAAAACCAACTGTAACTGCTCAATTGTATGGCACAGCTAGCGAAAACATCAAGAATTTGTGTATATGTGTACACACACACATTCATGCACGACTGCCTCGCATTCTAACAGCATTATAATTGCGACTTTTTTCTGAAATGCTATTTTAGTTCGTTTTTTTCTCTATAAAACTTAATTATTGGTGTGGCTGTTGAGTAGAGGCATAGCAATGTTGCGGTCTGTCGCGAGCTCGAGCCCTACCTGGGAAACTATTTTTGTTTGTTTTTTTTGCTGGTCTGTCTGTTGAGTAGAGTCGTCAGCAAGTAATACAGTCAGTTGCGAGTTCGAACCGTGCCAAGGGGACTTTTTTTTTATTTATCTTTATTACTTCAAACGAGCGCGTTGCGCGAACTGCATTTTGTGTTGAAATAAGAGGGCTCAGGGTATTCCCTAGTCGACTAGAACCTCTCACTTGTTATTACTGCTAAAGCAAACGAGCTCTTTTACCTATTAACTTACCTCGTCCTTTTAGGAAATAGGGTATTTTGGGTAGCTTTTAATTAGTCTGTCCAAGTCATTTACTCTGTCTATGTTAAACAGTCCGTTCTAGAGATACTATTGATGGCTTCGCATTTGTTTATTTTATGAATGGAATACTTTATATTTATGATCCCTTTTCTTATTTTGATTTTTGTTTCTAATTCTTTAAAACTATCATTTCCCAAAATAGCATCGTACGCTGAAAGGTTAGCAATATGAAATATGTTACATTTATTTCTGGTTGGTTAAACTGATTGGCAACTTTGTGGTGTGTAATGCGCTTCCACCTATAGTTACTGCTTTAACCAATTTTTGATTTCGGATCAGATTAGATACTAATTTTGGTTGGATGCTGATCCTGTTTAAACCTAGTGGTATGTTGAGTGATTGGCCGCTCCCTATTTTACACGCGAAACATGGTAATAAGGAATCTGTTATTCTAAAAAATTTGATGATGAATAGCTTATGGTATTTTAATTAGTTTCCCCATGTTCGGTATATTCGTACAAGTGTACGTATTGAAATGTACACAATTAAATAAAACACTTTGTTTAGTTTAGTCGATATCAATATTTATTAATTTACTTTTCTGGGCACTTTAACTTGTTTCACTCACTAAGGTTCAGAGAAAAGTAAGGCTAAACTATAAAAGCATTTCAGCATCAAAACTGAAAATAACAAAAGCCTACTTGGTCATTGTACCTTTTGTATGAATGAGTGTTTGTGTGTATTTCAACACTCATTATTCCAACAGTACGCATATCCTTCTTGACTCTCGTAGTCTTACAAAGCTTGTTTTAGTTCTCTTCTTCGGCCTGAATAGCAAATGTATCCTGTCTTTTGTCTGTTTGAGTCATGGTAATGGAGCTCTTTTGTCTACTTCGAATTGTGGTCTATTCATATAATTGAATATTCTTGATCGGAGGATTGGTCAACATTCATAAGCTCTCGCCACAGTTTACGCTTATGATCTGTTACCGATATTCAGTTACCTTGTTATTCGTTATTTAATTTTCGAATGAATTGAATCTTGGCTGCTCCAGTTCATGATGACATAGGTACGTTTTCGGTCGTTGTCTACCAGCATGTCTAAAAGAGCTGCAAAACTGCTCAATGAAGAGCTTGGCCGAGGTGACAGCGCACATCCGGAGATCGGTCTTTCCCCTCTAGGAAGATGCCTATTTACCTATTTAATGTTAAACGCTCAGTTTAAGGCTACTACTAACGCATTTCAGCCATTATCTGTCTCTAGTAAACTTGCGCATGATCTCGTTAAGACCGTATATACTTCGCTTTTTTTTGTTTTATCTTCTTTGCTGCCATTGTTGTGGCTGAGTATGTTTTTGGTAAACTGCGAACTCTGATTTTCAAGTACATTAGCCGATGCCGCAGCAGTTTACCTGCTAGTTTAGCCGTTAAAGGAATAACTACATTGGGTTCATTGCTTTAAGGCCTTGGCTCGCTGCTGCATCCTGTCTGCGCACTCGTGTCTGTTTTGAAACGCTTTCGCATCGTGCAGTCATGTTTTATATATTCTCATATATATATTTTTTATTTAATCACATATACAATCACATTGTAACACTTTGTTGCAATCATAAATATTTCCATTGAAAACAATGGATTTATTCAAAACATAAACGCAAGTCAGTGGCTCGAGCAAATCTATTATGATAGGCCAATTGATGGCTGTACGGCAAAGTGGTGACCATGCATCTCGGGGCCAATTTCCGTGGTTGCTATGTACAAGAACTACACAGCTGCACGGGCTCAAGAGACATTGTCCTTTCAATCATACAAGATTTTCCTTGAAATTTTCTTTGTAGTCTTAACATTACGGCCGACTTTTCTTTGTCTTGCTTGTGTACTTGTGTATTTTGGTATATTCTTGTCGGGCACTCGCGATAAGAAAACTCCTGATTGTTACTTGGAGCAGGGTCTCGACAGTTATTCAACACTTTTCATTTGACTGTGGTGTGAGGCGCCCACTAAGGTAGCCACCCCACAGTTCATAATTATAATTATAGGGTATAAGCATTGTATAGCATATAAGCATTGTATTCGTAATAAGAACTGTTAAGGCAAGGTGCCGATGTATTGAAGCTAATTAAGGGCAAGGATCCCAGTTTGAATTAAACCGCCGGCCGCCGCTGCAACCGTGCGTTGCTGATCGGTTGCTCAACACTGCCTTCGAGAGCGCAGCTTCAATTCGGCGGCGAAGAGCGAAAGCTCCGAAGCGAGGCTGCGAAAGCTCGCGGCGAAGTTGAGCGGCCGAGGCAAGCGCACGGCTCGCTAGCGAGCGAGCCGGCACTTTTTGGACAACGATCAGAGTGAGTAGACGTGTCGAGAAAAGGAGCGCGAGTGATAACAGTGAGGTGTCCAGCGGAGCGCTAGGGCTCCAAGGCAGGGCGGCAGGGCCTTAGTTTACGAGATCCAAGAGGGAAAAGTTAATAAAACTAATAAATAAAGTGTATGTAATCAAAGTAATGGAAAGAAATGCTGATCTTTTTTGTCCTTATTTGTGCTAAACATCGGAAATTGCCGAGGTTCACCAAAAACCTACGGGGATAGTGTGGTTGGTGCGAGGCCAAGGCCCGATGGTGTAGATGGTGCGAGCCTGTAGCCTCCTAGTGTATTTAGTGCGAGGCCAAGGCCCGCTAGCGTAGTTGGTGCGAGGCCAAAGCCCGCTAGTGTAGATGGTGGGAGGCTACATCCTTCTAGAATAGGTAGTACGGGGCTGCGACCCAGTAAAGTAGGTGTTGTGGACATAGAGAAACAGGTATGGTTAGGTCGGTACGTTCATTTTTCCACCCCCTTAAACTCTCAATCCTAGCGAACTTAAATGTCTTGTAAGTCGCTGGGCCTGGTAAGACTGAGACTCATACCCCGGCCAATAGCTTCCTTATAAGTGGCGCCCGAGCAGGGACCTGAGTCGTTTGAGGGCGTGGCATATCGGCGGCTTAAAACCCCGCGGGGGCGCCCAATTAGGTGAAAAAAAAAAATGTAAAGGGTACTTGTAGTCGGGCACACCATAGAGAGTGGGTACCCTGGTAGAGAGCAAGAGAAAAAAATACCTCGCACATGGGCAAATGAAAAGAACAGGGTGTTGATTAGTCGAGCATACTCCAGAGAATTCGTTTCATATCCTGTGTTAGGCAGAAATAAACACCTGCACAATCTAGGCGACCTAAAATGTGTGCAGGATCGAGCGCATAGAGTGAATATCGGGAAAATAACGGCGATCGAAAACAGGCGACAGCGAGACCAGGCTTGCACACGTGTGCATAGACGCGCGCCGCAGCCGACGTCGGCGTCGAAGGGCGTTAAGGCGTTGCGACAGAGGCTGTACAGTGGGACAAATTCAACTCGCATGCGGTGAAAAGTTGAATTCGTCTGTACAGCCAACGCAAGCAATGAGAACGGGTGTGTTGAAAACTAAACAAAACGGAGTGAACTATAAAATAATGAAATTAAAGGCAAGTTAAAGGAACGAGAAGTTAAAGTTGAGGGAAAAGTGACTGATTTTGTTTTATTGTTTTGGTGGCGTGACCGGGGGAAAAAAAAAAGAAAATAATATAAGAATAACAAAATATATATTAAAAATATATATTAAAAAATTCGGATAATAATAACAATTGTCAGTAATTGGTGAAGTTTTTTGTTAAAACAATAATGACCAAAAGGATAAATAATAATTATTATTGACTAAAAAAAAAAAAACAGAGTGAGTGGAAAGCTCAAAATGAAAACCCG